CTGAAGGCAGACGCTTAACCATCTGAGCCACCCAGGTGCCCCACAACTCCTATACTCTTAATACTTCTTGCTATGTGGTAGGCCTGAGTGGATTTCTGAGGCTGGGATGGGTGGAAACAAGGACTGTTTATGTTAGGGGCAAGGCCTAGGTTTTGAATTGGGATAAAACCTGGCTGGAGAGAGGAACAATTTGGGGGAAGGGGGTTGAGACACAATAGAGGGTAATAACTGAGTCACCAGTGGGTCCCAGCCCTAGACGTGTCTCATACCCACAGGCCTCTGAGAGCCTCCTGGCCATCTTCCCCTACTGTGTGGGTACAGTTACTACATAACAAACCACTCCAAACCCACTTTATTGTGTCACGGATTCTGAGGGCCAGGAATTTGGAGAAGGCATAGTGAGAACCATTTGTCTCTGGGGACCTCAGCTGGGTTGACTCAACGGCTGGGGAAATCATCTGGAAAAGTCTTCATTCATATGTTTGGTGGTTGAGGCTTGCTGTGAGCTGGAAGGTGGCTTGGCTGTGGGTCAGAAACCTCCACAAGCCTCTCCATAGGAACTCTCTGAAGGGGCTACTTTTGGGCTTCCTCACAGCATGGCGGCTGGATTCCAGGACAAGCATCCTCAGAGAGCCAAGAGAAGCTGTGTGGCCTTTTCTAGTCTAGCCGTAGAAGTCATGCAGCCTCACTTCTGCCACATTCTATTCAGGGAAGCAGTCACAAGCCAGCACAGATTGAATGGGAATGGAGTTAGCTTCTTCTTCATGGGGAGAGGCAAGGTGATACTGTAAAAAGTTTATGGGATAGGAAATGTTGTTGAGGCTGTTACTGAAAGTACGACCAGCCACACCTTTGGAAAATCCAACTGCCGCACCCATAAATTTAGGAAGATGAGAAGGTCCAGTGGCAAACAGAGCCTCATACCCACTTCACAGAGGGAACAACTGAGGCTACAAAAGTCACTGAATTGAAAAAGGGCCCTAAAAGCCCAACATATACTCAATTTAGGGATTCTTTCTATGGCATCCTATGGATCTCATGATCTAGTCTCTTCTTGAATACCTGTAATGATGTGGAGATCATTACCTTACAAAGGGGCCCATTCCAATTGCTTCACAGTTAGAATTGTCAGAAAGTTCTTAGATTGTGATAAAAGTTGCATCCCTGTAAGGTCCACTCATCAGCTCTGGTTATGCCCCTGGTGAATGAGGACTGGACAAGAAAGAAGGAAACTAACACTCTTGAGTGCTAACTTTGCGTCTGGCCTGTGCCCTTCACAGCCCTTTCCTGGAGAACAAGTGTGTGCCAACCCACTCACTGTTGATGGAGTTGTCACTTTTCCATCTTGAGATCTTTCCCCTTTTCCTCAATGACCAGGTTTCCTGACTGCTCGTCACCTTTTTTTATGTTACAGTTTTTCCTGGCTCTTTTTTTTTAAGTAGCCACATTACACAAGATCGGCTTACCTTAAGCTTACAGTCAGCTGAACACCTCCAGTCATTTTTCACTTCAACTGCTGCTGCCCCTGATCTCTCCCATGCCACCTTTCATCCAGGAGTCTTCTCATCAGACCAGGATTAGAATGAGGATGGATATCCAGGGGTCCATGTTTGGCCCCACAGGACTTCTGAGCTCAACGGGGTCTGAAGAGTGGGACCTGCGACATGTCTCAGGTGGACCACGGGTCAGCCTGAGTTCTGGCTTCCTTCCTTCCAGCCAAACAGGTTGATTGAGAGGCTGGGAGGACCACCACTTACCACTCACCGTGCCTGTCCCCTTCTTGCTTGGGGTTGGGGGGACAAACCACAGGGATAGGGAAGTACCAGGAAGTACTTCCTGACAGGCTGAGAAGTACGTCACTTGGGCCTGGCCTGGGAACAGACTTACTCCCTGGCATGAAGGATGAGGTCATGGGGAAGACTGTAGAGGAGGGGAGGATCAGAAAAGGCTCACTGCAGCCCTCCTTCGTATGGGCCTCAGCAGATTCTTAGTCATGTACGTATATGTAAAAAAAGAATAGAAGTCTGTATTGATTTTAGGTGAATCCTCCTAAATTGACATGTCCCCTGAACACCAGTATGAGGACTTTCCGGGAACAAAACTAAAACTAGTTTCAGTAAGAAAGGGAATGTATTGGCTCACCTGCTGTGAAGGCCAAGGGTAGAGTGGGGTTCAGGCTTGACTGGATCCAGGGACCTGAAGAAGTCATCAGACTTATCAGGGGACTCCACTGCTCTGGTTGGCATCATTTGCTTCTACTGTAAGTTGATTTTTCAGGTAGCAGTAGCCAAGGCACTAAGAACTTTGGGGTTCTAGACTTATGATTCTCAGTCTAAAAGGAACGGACACTATCTCTCTTTCAGAATCAGTATATAAAATCCCAGGGAAGGACTCTGATTGCCCTGACATAGGTCACATGCCTCTCCTGGGCCAATCTTTTCAGGCAGAAAGAAAAGATAGAAGGATTGGCCAGGTCTGGGTCATATATCTTCTCTAGTGGCCCACTACCTCACAGGCATCCTAAGGCAGGAAGCAGTATAACAAGCCCTGAGAGGACAGGAATGAGCAGGTCAGGAATTGAAGCCTGGCTGTCTTCTGTCTGGTATTTCGTTATCTGCTTCTTTTTGCCCACTTCCTCATTCTCCTGTTTTCCTTTGAAGATCAGCTTTTTTTTTTTTTTTTCCTTTCTCCTCGGCATCTACCATGGCTCAAAATGGCTGCCTCAACCTCAAACATTAGTGACTTTTAGGTGCCTAACACCACCTGTGGCTGAGTTCGAATTTTCAAGGAAGAGAGAATCTGGTTGGTTACAGGGATAGGTGTTCACTACTGGACCATTCTGCTGTGGTGAACTTGCAGCATGAACATGGCCTCTGAGGTCTTGCCCTTGAGCAGGCCTGGTAGGAGCAGTTCCTTAGAGAAGGGGGCTATGGGTGGGGAAGGCATTTTAGAACAAGATGCTGTGCTCGTCTCAGGTAACCCAGGGAGGGGCAGAGCATGGCACCCTCCCTGCCCTCCAGTAGCTTCAAGTATAGCCAGGCAGGCAAGATGCTCATTTGGGCCAAGGGTCATAGGCCCTTGGAGAAGGGCAAGGTCATTGTGGGCCAGGACAAGCAGAACAAACTTGTCCTAGAGGTGGTGAGAACAGAGCTGGCCTTGCCAGGTGGGCCGAAAGCAAAGGATAAAATACTCTAGAGCATGGAGTAGATGTTCTCCTCACACCTGAGCTGGCTCACCTAAACCAATACTCAAATGCATCTGAAGTGTCACGATTGAGCTTTTCCTCACAGCACGGGCTCTACAGAGGAGGCTTCTACGTGCCTGTCTATCTCCTCCACCAGGTTCCTGCCAAACTCCTTATAACACCCTTGTCCCAGGATGCCCCGGAAGTGACTCTCCCCCTCTTCCACTCCCCATCTCTGCACATGTGTGTGGAGGTTACAGGGAGTTTTTCATGACTTTTTGGAAAGTCAAGGAATGTCTCTCCCCAAAAGCCAAGGCAGGCAGGAAGGAAGGTCCAAGAATAAAAGGAGGAAAATACTGTTTGCAGCTGGTGAAGTTAAAGAGCTCTGAGGTGGGGGCTTCTACTCCCTTGCTGTGGATGAAGAAAGAGAGGTCCAGGGACCTCTCTGGCCTCGCTCAAGTTCTCCTGGTGGGACTAGAACCCTGGCTTCTCACTGCCCCTGGTCCAGGGCTCTTTCCATGAGCCCTTGCTGGCTAGTAGGGTGTGGGCCTGGCAGGGATAATCTGGGGGTTGGGGAGACCATGGGGAAATGCCTCACTTTCACAAGGTGGGAGTAGAGGCTCAGCCCAGGAAAGTGTGGTCAAAACCAAGTTCTCTTGGCAGCCCTGTGGGATCCAGAAAGTAGCTAAGAGGTCACCAGCGGCTCCTAGGGGAACTGGGCCAAAGTCCCTCCAATAGGCTTTATCTGGGCAGATTCCATTTCCTGTTGGAGGAAAAGGAAGACATCTTTGTGTTTCTCTGCTGTTTTCCCCTTTCCAGCAGATCAGAAACCAGATCGCGTCAGATAAACCCAGTTGAGAAGAAAGAGGCCATGGCTGGCTGGGAAGAGAAGGGTCCCCTGCCAAAGTCACGCAGGAAGACTCCCAGAGAGACCCTTCCCCTGCAGAGGAGGGAGAAGGGGTTCATTTGGTCTCGCTTTAGACTTGTAATAATATTTCCAAATGAGGTTTTACCTCCAGTGACTGTATTATTCTTTTGCCTCTGGTTAAGAGCGACAGAATGTTAACCGTGAACTTAAAGACTTCACACTTCTTCATTGTTTCAGCAAGGGCGGCCTAACAAAATGGAAGTGGCCCAAACCTCACTTGACCTCCACGAGGCTCCTCCGAAGGCAGTCTCCGAGGGCAGGGGGCGGCGAGGAGGAGGCAGAGGAGGTGGGGAAGGGAGATCGGCGAGAGGGAGGGGAGAGGAGCCGGGAGGGACAGAAAGAGGAAAACCGGAGGGAGGCCGAGCAGGGAGCCCGGCGAGAGCGCGCGAGGGGAGAGGGCAAGGTGACCGCGGGTATCAGTGAGGGGCCAGTTGTCAGGGTTCTATCTGCGCCATGATTGATGGGAGCCTGGGTTTTTCTGTCAGCCTGTCACGGCGCAGGAATGTTTAATGTTCTCATTATTGGTTACGCTGTTGTGTATATTTCTCTGTCAGCACCGCGGACCCAGCTGAACTGGCAGAGCACTTCAAAGGCCTGCGGGTCATTCATCATCCCCATGACGCTCCGGCAAATGCTCAGCTTCAGCTCCGCGCCAGGGATTTGTTATGACTTGCGAGCCGGCTGACAGACAGGACGCTGGCGGCCGCGGGAGGGGGACGCGCGGGAGGGAGGCTTGCAGCCCTTTTGTCACTCTGGGCGAGCGGCAGCGCCCAGTGCCCGGACTCGGGGGGGGGGGGCGTGTCTCGGGGGCGGGGGAAGCAGAAGGTGCGGCCCGGCCGGGGGTGACCCGCGGGGGGCCGGGGGCGCACGGGGGGGCTGGGTCCCCCCCCCCCCCCCCGCAGAGGCTTTCCCCGCAGGCCCAGCCGGCGCCCTCGCCCTCCTGTCCCACCCTCCTCTTCTCGGCTGGCGGTGGCGTCTCTGAAAGTTGTGCTGAAAACCCAGAGGTTGGGGAAAAAAGCGAAACTTGCAACCGGCCCGGGGAGGGGAGGGGAGGGGAGGGGCGGGCCGGGCCGGGGTTGGGGGTGGGGTTGGGGGGGTGGGGGGGGGGAGGAGAGCAGCAGAATATCGGAGCTTTGTTTCCTTTCCCAGGCCGTGACATGATTAATCGTTTTCTTCTGATCTAATTTTGGAACATGAAAAACAGCACATTTGTCTTGAAGAAAAATGATGTGCCGAACCGCGCAGATGGAAATTTCGAGCAATGAGAAAGATTAAAGTGAAACCCCACTCCTTAGACCTAATCATGAGTTGTAGATTATTCTGTCGGCCCAGCCAGATGGTAGCTCTGATTCCACAGCCCCTTCTTATATTAATGAATACTAGACTGTTATATTTGACTTAGGTAAGTGAAATGTCTATCAGAGCTAATGGACTGCCAGCCAGCATAACACATGTTGTACCGCTAAGGGTCCTTGCTGCATTTTTCATGTTTTATACTAATGTAGAACATTTTGTTTCCTACTGTTTTTCATCATTGTCACTGTTTGCTAAATATTTTCACATGGAAGGGGGGGAGGGAGACAAAGTCATGAGGAAAAAGAACCCCCCTCTAAACTTGTGTCCAAAGCTAATTTCCTCCCGTTGGGCTTGGCTATAACTCTACAAGTAAAACAGTCACCCCAAGCAATGTGTACAGGAACTCAATAGCAACGTGATTAAGTTCCTAGTCAACAAGACTACACTGGACTGTATGTTAACAAACCTAATTATAGCCCCGTGGTGATAAATTGGGCCAGGGCCCTTGCTGCACATCTCTGAGGTCCTGTCTAGAAGAGCAGCTTGACCCTCTTGTCCCAGGGGAGAGAACTGTCCTGGAGAGGAGTCCCACGCTCGGCTTGGAGGAGGGGCCCTACTGACCCGGTGGTCGTTTGCCTGCGGAGGGTGGGCGCAAGCCCTGAAACGCTGAGCACAAGGCCGGAGGTATGAGCCCCCAGGCATGAGCCCCCAGGCATTAGGCTCTCCTGGAGGAGGCGGGAAGGGCGATGGTGTTCGAGCTGTTGGCACCATCTGTGTTGTGAGCAGTATCAGGATGCTTGAGAGTGTGCTCTTCCCAGTTCATTGGTTCCATGCAGGCCTCTGGACCTGGTGGCTCACTTTCTCTGGGCTCCTTCTTCCACATATCTTGTCTGTGCACTGGTGAGGCCCCAAAGAGCTTGTTGTTCAAGAGGAAATCCTGAGCTAGTTGTTTGTGAAGGACCCAAGCCTGGTTGGGACTACTGTCCTGGAGAAAATGAGTCCTGGAGATGGAATCTGAAAGCTGTTTGGGCAGATAAGATGGAGGCGGTTGAAGGATATCTTCAAAGGGTAGTGTCTTTTTTTTTTTTTTTAAGATTTTATTTATTTATTTGACAGAGAGAGAGAGCACAAGCAGGTAGAGTGGCAGGCAGGGGGAGAGGGAGAAGCAGGCTCCCCTCTGAGCAAGGAGCCCAATGCAGGGCTCGATCCCAGGACAATGGGATCATGACCTGAGCTGAAGGCAGCTGCTTAACTAACTGAGCCACCCAGGCGCCGCCAAAGGGTAGTGTCTTGAGAAAAAAATGGAAAGAAATACATAGGAGAGACCTATATAAGACAACACATGAGAGAGAGACAGGGAGGGAGGGAGGAAGGCAGAGAGAGAGAGAGAGAGAGAGAGAAAGGAAGAGAAGAATGCAGAGAAAGAGAAAGAGATCAAGACAAGGAGGTGTAAATACCAACAGAGCAGATAGCCCATGAATTCAAACTCTTCTTCCTCAGCCAAAATGAGCTCCCTAAAAAGCGAATTTTACCCCTGCTTAAAATTCTTTCTTGGCTGTGATTCCTGCAGGAGTCAGTTCAAATGACTTGGCTGTGAATAGATGACCCTTTTCCAGCTATTCCCAGCTTACCTCTCTGGCCTCATCTCTCACTTGTCCTTCACTATGAACCCTGCAGTTCTGCCACATGAGCCTTCTTGGGGTTCTGAAGAATTCTAGGCTCTTTCACAACAATGTACTTTTGTCTGTGTTTGTCTGTCCCACTCCCTTCCATTCTTTCTCTGGCAAACTCCTACTCATCCTTCAAGACCCAGCTCCCATGTGTCCTCCTCTGCCCCACTTTCCTCACATTCCTCAGGGCATTATTTCATACTCTGGGCTCCCATCAATTTTTGTCCACATCCCGGTGGAAATATGGGCTGGGTTGCCTCGAAAATGTATGTGTTTGATAATCTGTCCTTCTAGACTTCCTTTCCTTTACAACTATTCCTCTGTTCATCCATTTGTTCATGCATTCAAGTGGTACACATTGAAAACCTACTATATTGTCAGGTGTTGTTCTGGGCACTAGGGATTCAGCCAGGTACAAAATTCATAGCCCTCTTGGAGGTGCCATTTTGGTACTATCTGTGTGGGTCTGTTAGTGAAGCTTCTTCACAGTAAGAAACAGAAATTCATTTAGGCCAGCTCTAATAGTGCGGGTCATTATAAAATAGTGGCAATAAAGGGGCAAAAATCACATGGGGACCCAAGAACAACTGGATGATTTCTGAACAACCTCTCAGCTTCTGTAACTCATAATTGGGTCATTCATGGCCCCTCCCAGGCCCTAATGCCATTTTTTAAACTTTTAATTGTGGTATAATATATCTGCAGAAAACTGCATATAAGAACACAGCTCAAAGAATTTTCACAAACTATAACTCACAATGAGATCAAGAAACAGAATTTTCAACACTCCAGTGCCCCCTCTTGTCATCCTTCTTTGTTTCATTTTTAAGTTAAATTCCCACCCCAACTTCCCTCCATTATGTACTATGACATTTTGATTTCTGTTTTCAGTGGGTTTGTTTTTCTGAACAGCTTTATTGAGGTAAAATTTACATTCCACAAAATCACCCACTGTATAGAATATTACTCAGCCATAAAAAAGAATGAAATCTTGCCATTTGCTACAACATGGATGGACCTAGAGGGTATTATGCTAAGTGAAATGAATAAAGCAGACTGAGAAAGACAAATACCATATGATTTCACTTATATGTGGAATAAAAAAGACAAAACAAACAGACAAACAGATTCATAAATACAGAGAACAAACTGGTGGTTGCCAAAGGGGAGGGGGTGGGGGGGGAAGGTGAAGGGGATTAAGAGGTACAAACTTCTAGTTATAAAATAAGTCATGGAGAGAATAGTACAGCATAGGGAATATAATCAGTAATATAATAACATTGTATGGTGATGGATGGTGATTACACTTACTATGGTGAGTACTGAGTAATGTATAGCATTGTCAAATCAATATGCTGTACACCTGAAACTAATATAACATTTTTATATCAATCATATTTTAATAAAAAATCACCATTGTAAGTGAACAATGCAATGATTTTTAGTAAACTTAAAGAGTTGTGCAATCATGACTATAATCCAGTGTTAGAACATTTCCAGCATCCCCCCAGATTCTCTTGGGCCCATTTTCAGTCAATACTAAGTTCCAGTCCCAGCCCTATGTAAATAGCTTTTACATCTAGATCTGTGATCTATTTGAAAAAAAAACAAAACACAACTTTTTTGAGATATAATTCACATGCTATAAATTCCATCCTTTAAAAAGGTAAAATTCAGTGGTTTTAATATATTACAAAGTTGTATAAATGTCACCACTATCTAATTCCAGAAAATTTCATCACCCAAAAAAGAAACCCCCCACCCATAAGCAGTCGCTGCCCATTCCTTCCTCCCCCAGTCCCTGGCAATCATGAATCTGCTTTCTCTCTCTATGGATTTGCCTATGCTAAACATTCCATACAAATGGAATCATACAATATGAGGCCTCTTGTGTCTGGCTTGTTTCACTCAGCATAGTGTTTTCAAGATTAATGCATATTGTAGCATGTGTGAGAACCTCATTTCTTTTTTATGGCCAAATAATATTCCTATATTACCATATGGATTTATAACATTTTGTTTATCCATTCCTCATTGATGGAGATTTGAGTTGTTTCCACTTTTTGGCAATTATGAATAATGCTGCTGTGAACATTTGTGTACAAATTTTTGTGTGCACATATGTTTTCAATTCTCTTGGATCTATATCTAGGAGTAAATAGGATTGCTAGGTCATATGCTAACTCTATGTTTAACTTTTTGACTGTGATCCATTTGAAGTTACTTTTTGTATATGGTGTGAGTTAAGAGTCTAAGTTCATTTTTGTTTTCATATGGATATCCAGTCTGTCCCAGCATAAGTTTTTAAAATCATGAATTAGCACTTGGATGTGTCAAAAGCTTTTCCTGCAACTACTGAGTGAGGTATTAAAATCTCTAGTTGTTATTGTTTGTTTATTTCTGTTTGAAATTATCATGTGAGTTTTGTCCTTTATTCTTTTAATGGTAAACTGTATTAATTTATCTTCAAATAATAAACCAACCTTACATTCTTGGGATAAACATACTTAGTCACAGTGTGTAATCCTTTTTATATGTTGCTGAATTTGGTTTGCTAATATTTTGTTAAGGATTCTTGCATCTATTTTCATGAGGCATGTTGGTTTTCTTTTTTTTGTGACATTTTGTTTGGCTTTGATTTCTGGCTAAATCTAGCATCATAGAATGATTTGCAAGTATTCCCTCCTTCAACTATTTTCTTGAGTTTGTGAACGATTGGTATTATTTCTTCTTTAAATATTTAATATTTGATTCACCAGTAAATCCATCTGGGCTTAGTCTTTTCATTGTGGGAAGATGTCTAATTACTCACTCAGTTTCATTTTTCATGATAAGTTTATTCAGATTTTCAATTCTTTTTGAGTCAATTTTGGTAATTTGTGTACTTCTAGGAATTTTCCCACTTAATCTTAGTTGTCTAATTTAATGGCATAAAGTTGTTCATGTATTATCTTATAATCCTCTTAATTTTTGTAGTGTCAGTAATGATATATCTTCTTTATTCTTGATTTTGGTAATTTGTATTTTCTCTCTCACTTTCTAGATAGTCTGGCTAAGAATTTTCCAATTTAATTGACTTTTTCAAATAACCAGATTTGGTTCTATTGATTTTCTCTACGTTCTATTTCATTGATTCATGTTCTAAGAATGTTATTTACAAATTTTTGGCATTTTTCCTATTTCTTTCTTATGGATCTCTAATTTAGTTTTGTTGTGGTCAGGGAACATACTTTGTACGATTTCAATCTTTTTAAAGTTTTACAGACCTGTTTTGTGCTCCAGCATATGATTTATCCTGGAGAATGTTCTATGTGTTCTTGGAAAGAATGTTTATT